ATATATATATGTACATACTGTATATTGAGGAGAGGATTCTCCAACTCGTGTTTTGCTGTATTTGTCAAATAAGCTGTCTGTGACAACATACATTTCTTTAAATTCAGTTCTAGCTATAGCTTTTCTATAGTTATTCTGGGGGCGCCACTGTGTTGTCTAAGGATTTTACAGGCTGCTTTTCTAAAGTATGACTTTCAAATTAACATGAGAACTCATTTGTTTTGTTTTTTCCTGAGTAATGTCAGTGTAACTTTTTCTATACTCCAAATAAAATGTCTTTTTTTTTTAGAGAGGGCAGCACAACAGTTAAGTATTTTTAATAACATTGATAATTGGAAAGTATTTCATCTAACCTGAACATATTTTTTTTTTAAGCTTGTGTGCTTGTTTCTGCCAGATGTGGAACTATGAGTCTCAAAGATTGGTATCCTTTCTGTAAATGAAACAATAATCCCTCCCTGTTTTATTCGTAGTGTAATGCAACATGTGGAGGAGGCACGAGCAGCAGAAAAGTGAGCTGTTTAGGCCCAGGGATGACACCGGCCCAAGATGATTACTGTGAACCATCATCCAAACCTTCATCACTCCAACACTGTGAAGGAGCTCCCTGTCACTACATGTGGATAACAGGAGAATGGTCACAGGTAAGAATAAAAACACCTAGGGACAGTTTAGAGTTACCAAAAAAATGTGCATGTTTTTGGTCTGTGGGAGGAAACCAAAGTACCCGGAGAAAGTCCGTGCATGAGAGAACATGCAAACTCTACCCAGCAGAGCCGGGCAGAGATCACTAAAGGGGCAGGTGTTCAAAAATAAAAAAGGGCACATAGTACCAGATTCTAGGACAGTAATCTCACATAGCTACATTTACATTTTACATTTACATTTATGAGATTTACATTTCAATACACTATGATGTCTTACCAAATATTAAGCATTTATTGCAATCAGAATTTCTCTCTGTAACAGTTTGTGTGAAGTCTATTTTGTAATCAGTTACACTACAGCGAGTTTCACAGCAAACATATATGGCAGCAGAAGTATTACTCTAACCCTAACCCTACAGGGAACTGCTGGTACTCACAAATAACCATAAAATTATGCATAAATAATCATCCATCCATTGGTTTTATTTACCCTCTTGTTCTTTTTCGTGGTCACGGGGTCACTAGTACCAATCTCCAGTGGTTATTGTTCAAGAGGCTACACCCTGAACAGGTCACAGGTCCACCACATGGATGTCATCAATCATTTAATGCGAACTGATTATGATGTAAAGATTTTAAATAGCATTCAGGAAAACTGCTATGAAATTTACAGACTGGAAATGATGGTTTTGACCTCAGTCAGATTGTTGTCAGCTCATTATTTACTCAAACTGCAGTCGTTCGAAGAGCTATCTAGCACAACATGATATTAATTGTTTATAACTTTTCCACGTAGCTTCACTTGAAAAGGCCAACCAATTACTTTGTCTGAACGTGTGTGTTTTTGTTTGTTTCTCAGTGCTCTGCCAGCTGTGGTGTTGGCTATCAGCAGCGTATCGTCTCCTGCTCCCCGATGTCCTCCTCTTACACTGTTCAGCATTTCTACACTCAGTCCTCCTCTGTTGGCTCAAAGTGCCCTGAGCTGTCCCCTCCTGCCACCCAGCCATGCCTCCTCAGAGAGTGCACACACTCCACCTACTGGAAAGTTGGGCCATGGACCAAAGTAAGACATAAAACTCGCTTGTTTGATAGAAGAAAACCATGGAGTGCCAAGTGTAAAAAAAATGTTAAAACATGTCACTAACACATTTTCAATATTTAGCTCACATTCTGAATGTAAAACCTTTGTTAAAAGTAAATTCCTGATATTAAATATAGGTAAGTACCAAAAGTTAATTTAATGTTGAAAAATGCAGGATTCACTAAGCTACCTGTTTCAGCTGCATAACTCTTCATACAAGGCATCAGCTTAACCTAGTTGGAGTGTAACATGATTTATGTCAGTATTTCTCATCCAACCACAGTTACAGTAACTCACCGTATCCAAGGGGTAGCATATATCTGAATGGGTTATTATTTTTTGTAAACAATAACAAGCTTTTAAAAAAAATCGAAGAAAAAAAACGGTAGAAAGTACATACTATGTGCGAAAATGTGACGAGTTGAAGTAAAGTCATCTGAAAGTACATATAATCAAAGTTTCTACTTAAGTAATGTAAGAATTTTATTTTATTTTATGTTATTTTACAATTCTGCCAGCAGTTTGAAGTGCGGCTCGGACACAGGCCAAAACTGCAAGTTTAATGGCTTGTAGGTAAGTGTTAGCCGCGTTAGCCATGCTTACCACATTAGCCGCAATAGCCGTGTTAGCAGCAATAGCATATTTCAAGCTTTAGCGGTTGTTATTGTCTTAAGATGATGATGTCATATCAAAAGCCACTCACCAATGGCAAAGGCTGCATTCAATTCTGAAATTCCTATGTGTAAACCATAACATTTACGTTTAATATTTACATTAAATTCACACATTTAGATTTAGGATTTAACAGTTAGACAAAAACATTTAACATAAAAAATTTAACATTAGTAAAAATTAATAAATGACTATTTTTTTCCTAGGATTGTATATTTAGAAAGTGAGCTAAATAATGAAAATGTGTTGGTGACATTTTTTAAACATTTTGTTTTACACTTGGCACCCCATAGAAAACGCCTTCAGATTTTGTTGCTCGTACTAGCTAGTAGCACTTACTTATGGATATAATGTTTTTTTCTTTGCTGATATTTTTGCTTCTATGTGTGGAAAACTTTATGTATCAGTGTTCTCAGACGTGTGGGGCAGGCGTGATGTATCGCAAAGTGGAATGTGTAACCTCCAAAGACCAACCATCTACACTCTGTCGTTTGGAAGAAAGACCTGAATCTCAAGCTGCGTGTCAGGATCGACAATGTGAGCCTCTCGTCTTTTTTATTCTCCCTGGGTAAAGGGTTCGCTGTCAATTTTATGCCAAAGCAATTCAACCATTTTTTTCAACTTTTCTAATCCCATGCACATTGTTCAAACAGAAATCATTTAGTGTGGTGACATCAAATTGAGTGTGTTGTATACAACAACCATAGTCTGGTTGTGTTTATATTAGTTCAACCTTTTTGCTTTGGTGTTTTCAGTTTCATACATTAGCTGGAACAATAAGCTCCACCTAAAGCCTCTTGAGGTGATAATTCGGTGGAACAATAAACAGAAAGTGCAGCAGTTTTCTACAAATTATGATCCGGATGATCTGTCAGAATGTCTCGGAGGGTTTGTGCAGCTTTAATTGTGCAGGCCAAAGTTTCGCCCAGCCATGTTTCAAATGTTTCGGCACTGGCACACTGGGGTAATCACTTCCGACTTAGCTTCTGCCAAGTCAGGCCCAGGCAAAATTAAAATGATATGCTCGGGTGGCGTCCACTTCGGTGGTCAAGTATTCATTTTAATCGGCTAATCAGCATAACATGGGTTTTGAGGTGCCTTTGGGCTACAGAGGAGGCAACACAACAATTCTTGTTACGGAAAAAATGAGACAGATCAAAAACGTTTTCTAATGTAGTTGTTTTTATTATTAGGTTTCGCAATCTTTTGGATATTAGCTGCCAACAAATTTTCAAACACGTGCAGTGTGTCTCAGGACTTTTAAGGACTTATTTCTTGTTAACCAGAAATTGGACTAAAATCTCCTTTTCACACATCCTCTTCTAGGCCAGTTGTTTGCATCTTGCCGGGAGGTCCAGTTGAGGCAGGGCGTGAGGATGGATGGGGAATACTATCTGAAAGTCAAGTCTCGGATCCTACAGGTGTGTGTTCTGCCAGAGTTCTTCCTGAACACATCATGACTCCAGCAGATTACCTCATGCAGGGTCAACCTGTGGCATAGGCAGTGTAGGCAAATGCTAAGGGCACCTTCTATCTAGGGGCACTACAAATGAGAGATGATAAAAATATTGTGACTTTTTATCAGAGTACAGTTGATTTAGTCTATAGAATAGCCACATATTACTCAGGTGTATGATAGTAGTAGTAAAGTAATGTAATAACTTGTGTAAATAGAAAATAAAATAAGGATAATGGAAGTTTTAGTTCTGATTTCAGATAAAGTTCAGGTTAAAGTCTGGTTTCAGTGTTCTTCTTTCATAAAATACAGATTTTATGTTGTTTAATCCCAAGCATTTAATCAAATGTTCTTCAATCAGCTGGGAAATGCATAGCTTTGAGTAGATCTTTTACACTCCACAACTGCTTATTAACAAGAACAGTTGTTTCTCACTAGCTGTGTTTCCATTGACCATGAAAATGTACAAATTGGAATTTCAAATATTAAATTTGCTCAACGGAAACACGTCAGTTTCGAAAAAAATTACGTTTTTTGAGAAAATAGTTTTGCGCTAGGAAGAGGTGGTTTTTCGGCCGTATAAAAATTAGTGTCTTTTGCAAAACTGCAATGGAAACACTTTTTCGCATCACGGGAGTCACGTGATCAAGAACTGGCTGTTTCTACTGGTGAAAAAGACGGCAAAGAAGAAGATAACAGGAAGTACAAGTAATAGTAAAATCACCGAAGTAGTAAAAGAAAGTATTAAACTCACCAACTACATTTTCCCAAAAATGCAGCATACGTATCCACTCCCAAGTCTAAGGGGCTTGTCACTCGAAAGCCTCAATAAGACGCCAAAGTCTTCTCTGATGGCTGATGATGAGCGCTAGTGTCGTGGTAGCAATATGCTATGTGTTTACATCCATTGCCGCCATGTTTGTAATTACTTATCGCAAGAACAAGCGTATTCACGTGTGACTTTATTAGCATTTCTTACTTAACGGAAACAATGCAATTGTGAAACTGTGTTTTTTCGACATTAACAGAATAACGACAAAGTTTTGCGCACATTTGCAATGGAAACGCAGCTATTGCTGTCAGCAAATGATGGCAGATAGGAGGTCAATTTCTGGTATTCTGTTAACTATTTTACTCGAACAACATGTTTACTTAAGACAAATACAAATCTATTGAATTTAGTATGTGAATGTATGTATATGTCTAAACTGGCTATAGGCAGGCCCTGACCTCATGCGCTTTCATCTGGCATCCTGATGTGTGTTTTGTTTTAGATTTACTGTGCTGAGATGCAGACTGATTCTCCTAAAGAGTATGTGACACTGCGCAGCGGACAGACAGACAACTACTCAGAAGTGTTTGGGCAGAGGTGTGTGATGCAGAGCTGACTGTATTTCAGGATATGTATAAAAACAAAGGTTTTGTCTTTAAACCGTTGTGTTCTTTGCCACATAGGTTGCTGAACCCCTTCGAGTGCCCGTATAACGGCAGCCGCCGACAGGACTGCGACTGCAGGAACGACTATCCTGCAGCCGGATACACACTCTTCCACAAAGTTCGCCTTGACCTGAACTCCCTGAGGATAATGAGTGCGTAATTACTGTGACTGCCTTCCACTGTCTACCGTAATGAGACCACACATCAGTGTTGTTTTAAACAGTCACACGCCTCATCCCGTTGTGAAAATAAAGGCTCGTCCAAAGGCCTGTTCGGATGCATAAAACAGAGCTTTTCTTTCACACTCCTGCCACTGAAATTGAAATAATGAACTCTCTGCACTCTGCGTTTGCATCACCAGGGTGAGACTTGAATCTAGGCCTCTCCATACAAACACATGAATGAAGGAATGCATGCACATGCTTACTCAGAGGCACACTCTGGCAATTTGTGAGCACTCGCACTCGAACCATCCAACTGGATAACTATCAAACTCTTGCATGCGAGTAATCAGGCACTCATAAAATGTACACACACATAACCTTGGGGCATTTTCTCGACTGTCAGCGCCACCTTTCCTTGTAGTTTTCCAACATGTTATTAATTAGAGAAGGTGGGTTATTGTACAGTATTAGTGCTTGCGTAAATGGAAGCGAGTATGCGTGCTCTTTAAATGGAAAGTTTGCCATCACGCTGCAAAAATAATTTGTTGGGTCTGGGTCTTTCCCAGCCTCCCTGTGCACAGTGCTCATTTGGCTTTCAGGTGATTTGAAACAGATCTGAAGTGGGATAATATGTTCAAGATGAAGGGAAGATTACTAAAAGGCACCTGGCACCCATTTGCAATCTTATCCTTATATGTTTAACAAGATAGCAGGAAATACACAAGTATGAGCAAACCTTTTTTTTAATAAATATTGCTATGATGTTGTGATTTTGTACAATTCCAGCTCCAATGAAGTTAGAATGTTGTGTAAAACATGAATAAAAACACGATATGATGATTTGCAAATCATTTTCAACATATTTTAAATTGAATACATCACAAAGACGAAATGTTTAATGTCAAACGGATAAACGTTATTGGTCTTTTGCAGTTACTCACTAATTTTGAGTTTGATGCCTGCAACATGTTCCAAAACAGCTGGGACAGGGTCATGTTTGCCACTGTGTTACATCAACTTTCCTTTTAAGAACAGTGTTTGGGAACTGAGGACACTAATTGTTGAAGCATTATAGGTGGAATTCTTTCTCATTCTGGCTTGATGTACAACTTCAGTTGCTCAACAGAATGTTGTCTCCATTGTCATATTTTGCCCATCATAATGCACCATGCATTTTTAATGGAGACAGTTCTGGTCTGCAGGCAGGCCAGTCTAGTATCTGTTGTATTTTACTACGAAGCCACACTGTTGTGACACATGAAGAATGTGGCTTGGCTTTGTCTTGCTGAAATAAGCATGGGTATCCTTGAAAAAGACTTTGATGGAACATTTGTTCTGAAACCTGTATGTAGCTTTCAGCATTAATGATGCCTTCACATATGTGCAGGTTACCCACACCATGGGCACTAACATTCCCCCATACTATCAGAGATGCTGGCTTTTGAACTTTGCACTGATAACAATCCAGACAATTTCGTCTTTGAGCCGGAGGACACAACATCCATGATTTCCAAAAAAATAAAATGTTTAAATGTGGACTCATCAGACCACAGGACACTTTTCCACTTTGTATCAGTCCATCTCAGATGAGCTCAGGCACAGAGAACCTGGAGGTGTTTCTGGGTGTTGTTGATCTGTGGCTTTGGTTTTGCATGGTACAGGTTTAACTTGCATTTGTCGATGTAGAGATGAACTGTGTTCACTGACAATGATTTTCTGAAATGTTCCTGAGTCCATGTGGTAATATCCATTACATAATGGTGCTAGTTTTTAACACAGTGCTGCTTGAGTGATCAAAGGTCATTGATTTCAGTGATGGCTTTTGCTCTTGCTAATTACTTGCAGAGATTTGCTGGAGATTCTTTGCAATTGTACGTTGAGAAACGTTCTTGTTGGACTATTTGCTCACGGAGTTGTGCAAACAGTCAGTGCTGGCTCTAGCCATTTTGGTGCCCTAGGCGAGTTGAAGCG